TCGGGTCCCGGGCCTGGCCCGCATCCGTCGCCCGGCCCGCTGCTACCGCCCCGCTTCTACCCGCGCTATGTGCTGCCGCTCGCCTTCGGCAAGTACTTCGCATCCGTGTCGGCGCACGTCAGCATCTGGAAGGTGCCCGTGTCCTACGCGCACACCGGTGGGTGCCGCGCGGGGCTAGAGGGGGCGGCGGCCGGGGCGCGCCACCGGAGGCTTCTGTTCTGCGCTGGGGTAGGAGCGCGTCCCGGCCCCCTGAAATACGGGCTGAGATGTCTGCAGAGGAGCCGCCAGAGCTTTTGGCTGGGGAGGGGCGCTCCGAAGATTCTCCGAGAGGAAGAGGGCTGAGAAGGGAGCTCAACAGGCAGGATGGACCACAGCGGTAGGGGCTGGGAAGGAAGCTCCCAGGAGGAGAGGAGCGGAAGAGGTCTGACGGCTGCCCAGCCCTCCCACCCAGCGGTGGAGGTGGAACAGGCACCCTGGGTCCGGCAGCTCCTAAGTGCTCTTCCCTTTCTTTGCAGTCAAAGCCACCATGCCTATCTGGGTGGTCCTCCTGTCCCGGATCATCATGAAGGAGAAACAGAGCACCAAGGTAACCCCCCCACCCCACCCCCAGATAGGGCTCTGGGCAGGTGGGGGACCTAGGAGATTCCTGGCTATTGCCCAACTGGTGACGTGGTCCAGGCTCCTGGCTTTCAGGCTGCCAGGCTTCCTGTCAAATACGGAAGTTAGTGTAGAGGCCGCCACTGGCCCTTTGACTGCTAGTGTTCTAGAATTTCCCCCTCTGCAGTGATAGGATGTGTGTCCCCCAAGTGATATCTTTTGTGTGGTCTCAGGGACACTGCTGTCCCTCTCCAGTCTAACTTGATTTCCTACTCAAAAAACTTGTCGGGACCAGCAGTTAGCGTAATGGCTACGTCGCTGGACTCCCATGTAGTCGATCACGGTTCAAGTCCCGGACCCGGTGGCTTAAACTCACACCGGGCCCGTGTGCGTGTGTGCCCAAGATCCCAAGAAGAGAATGCAGGAGAAGGGATTGCGGCGTGACCATCCCCCCCAGGGGGTGATTTCTCGCTTTCTATCTCTATGTCTTTCTGGTGATGCATCCTATAGCAAAAACCTCTCCAAAAAAAAAAAAAGCTTGTCACATCTTGTTGAAGGACCACATTGTGCCCCTCCAGAGAGACCAGAGATGGATTAGAACTTCTTGACAAGAGAACGGATAGGTTAGGGCACTTCTGGGATCAGAAGTAATCCCAGAGTGTGATGCTAGTGACTGTTTGATTTGGGTACAGCCTTAGACATTGGGGACCAGTCGATGGAGAATGGTTACATTTTTGGACTCCCACCTAGCTGACAGCAGTTTGAGTCACAGACCCAGAGGCTTGAACACACTGGGCGCATGTGCATGCATGCCCCAAATCCCAGGGGATAATGAAGAGAAGGAACTGCAGCGGGGTCATCCCCCCAGGACATGATTTCTCTCTTTGCTGTCTCTTTGGCAAGCACACATGTCCGATAGCAAAAATCTCTCTTAAAAAAAGAAATTAAAACAGTCAGAAACCAGCTCAGTAGCCTGGTGGTTAAGGCAGCTGGATCCCACACGGTCCACTGCATAGAGCTAGTCCTAGACCTAGCAGCTTCAGAAACTTGCCAGTTAAGACCCGTAAGATAAGGTAATGGGTACGTCGTTGGACTCCCACATAGCTGATAGTGGTTCAAATCCTGAACCTGGCAACTTAAAACTCATGCTGGGCGTGTGTGCATATGTGCCCAAAATCCCAAGAGGAGAATGGAGGAGAAGGGATTGCAGCGTGGCCATCCTCCCTGAGGGGGGGGGGTGGTTTCTTGCTTTTTGTCTCTCTGTGTCTCTCCAGTGAACGCATGTGCCTTTTAGCAAAAATCTCTCTGAAAAAAAAAAAAAAAAAAAAAAACACCACCAGTTGTGTGTCCTGAAATCCTGGTGTGACCATGCCGTATGTGGGGTGCTCTCCCCTCTTCTCTCTCTGTAAAGCGCTTGTACCCGATAGCCAAGCGCACACACACACACACACACACAACTCAGCCAGGAATCGTGACTGATTGGAAATGGAAGGGAAAACCCGGAGAACTTGGGGCCGCATAAGGAATATCTTTGGCACAGTCCGACCTCTGTTTGAGATGCCAAGCCACGGTATTTCCTGGCTTGGGGAGAGAGAAGTCATGGCATTAGCCAGAAACAGTCTCGCCCCGTGTCCTGAAGTGCACGTGGCACTCGGAGATCCCAGCAGGAGTGCAATTTCTTACTAGACACAACGTCCCTTTTGCAAGTGGTCGGGTTCTGGCATCCTGCATTTTATGTAACTCGGAGCAGCCGTGCCCCGGATCCGCTTCTAGAAATTGGGCCACCTCTGGCTGCTGTTGGCATTCCAGCGCTGCTTTCTCGACCAGGACCTGCCTGTACTGGCAGCCTGCCCTTGGGGTGATGTCGATGGGACTTGCTTCCCGGGGGTCGGCGTTGCCAGCGAGCTGGGGGTAACCTGATAGCACGTCGCATCGGTCCGGTTTCCGTGGTACAGGGACATTGGACCTGGCTCGGGCAGGGAGCCGGGAACGTCAGCCAGGGAGGAGCGACTGGGATGGGCCGTCTCTCGAGCCCGCAGAGTAATGAAGATCACAATTGATAAGTTTCTTAGGGCCCCACCCCGGAAGGCAGATAAAGTGGATCATTACCATCTCTGATCTCAGGAGAAGAAATGGGACTTCAGAGACGGTAGTCACATGAAGGAGGGCCACAGCTGGTAAAAGGGGACCTGGTATTCAGGTCCCCCAGCCCACACCCCCTCATAAAACCACCTCGCCCTAATTCTTTTACTTATTTTTTTAAGGGAGAGTTTCTGGCTATAGGGCACACGTATTTGTCAGAGAGAGACAGAAAGTGAGAAATCACTCCCTGGGGGGGATGGCTACAGCACAATCCCTTCTCTGTTCTCCTTTCAAGATTTTGGATGGGCACGCACACGTGCCTTAAGGCACCAGGGCCAAGACTCAAACTTATGGTTGACTCGAACTACAATCGACTACGTGGGAGTCCAGTGACATAACCATTACACCATCTGTTGCCCCCACCCCCTTTTTTTTTTTTTTGGCTTAGGGCACATGCACTTGCTGGAGAGAGACAGATGTGGAAGGGAAAGTGAGAAATCATCCCCCAGGCGGGATGACCACACCGCAGTCCCTTCTCCATTCTCCTCCCAAGATCTTGGGCACGCACGCACACACATTCCCAGCATGACTTTCAAGCCACCGAGTCTGGGACTTGAACTCTGGTTGGCCAGTTGGGAGTCCAGTGACATAACCGCTATACTTTCTGCTGCCCCTGCCTTAAGTCTTTGTAGGACAGGGGTGACATAAGGAATGCATTCCCTGTGGATCCTAGACCTCGGACACCTTTTAGCCATGAGTCCTGGAATTCTGTACCTGCTAGAAAGCTTCCTGTCAGGGACCAGCAGTTAGTGTAATGGCTACGTCGCTGGACTCCCATGTAGTCGACTGCGGTTCGCGTCCCGGACCCGGTGGCTTAAAACTCACACCGGACGCGGTGGCTTAAAACTCACACCGGACGCATGCGTGTACGTGCCCAAGATTCCGAGAGGAGAATGGAGGAGAAGGGACTGTGGCATGGCCATCTCCCCTGGGGGCGATTTCTCATTCCCCCCCTCTGTCTGTCTAGACTCTTGAGCAAGTGCTCTTGCCCTATACCAAAAACTTTAACAAAAAACAAAGGTACATAGAAGGCCAGCTCTGGCCTGGTAGTTAAGGGAGCCAGATCCCACATGGCTGACCACAGTTCAAATCCCAGCCCTGGCGGCTTAAAAAAACCATGCTGAGTTCAAATGCATGTGTGCCCCAGAATCCCAACAGGGTGGAGAAATGAAGAAAAAGGGAGCCGGCAGGTGGCGTGGTGATTAAGGGCGCTGGACTCCCACATGGCTGACCATGGTTTGAGTCCCAGACCTGGCAGCTTGCTTTCTCACTTTCTCTCTCTCACTCTGTCCCCCTCTGGTCAAATTAAATTAAATTAAATAATTCTCTCTTTTTTAAAAATAATTACTTAACTTTATTTATTATCATTATAATTATTTTAATTTGATCAGAGAGAGAGAGACAAGGAAAGTCAGAAAGCAAGCCACCAGGTCTGGGACTCAAACCGTAGTCAGCCATGTGGGAGTCCAGTGTCCTTAACCACCACGCCACCTGCTGGCCCCCAAATTAAATCATTCTTTAAAAAAAAAAAAAGGAAAAGGGATTGCAGTATGACCATGCCTCACTTAGGGTGCCTTCTGTCTGTCTGTGTCTATCTGTCTGTCTGTCTCTCTGCCTCTCTGTTTTCTCTTGCTGGGGAGCACACGTGCTCTCTGACAAATTGGCAGGAAAAAACATCTCGTGGAAAAAATGGAATGAATTTGTAAGTTTATTCTTTTTTTAAGAATTACTTATTCCATTTTTATTCATTCATTCATTCACTTTTTCATTTGACCAGAGTGAGAAACAGAGAAAGAAAGAAAGAAAGAAAGAAAGCCACTAGGTCTGGGACTCGAACCATGGTTGACCATGTAGGAGTGTCCAGCACCTTAACCACCACGCCACCTGCTGGTCCTATAAGTTTATTCTTTTAAAAAGTAAAAGGGAACTAGGGGAGCCCCTCAGAGCATCCAGGTATGGCAGGGCAGCAGCTGGATAGGTGTGTTTTGTTAGAGCCAGCCCTCGGTGGGGACCAGCAGTTGGCATGATGGTTAAGACTCTAGACTCCCACATTGGCCGACCACAAGTTCGAGTCCTGAACCTGGCAGCTTGCTTCCTCGCTTTCTCTCTCTCTGCGTGTATGTCTCTGTCTCTCCCTGATGAACGCACATGCCCTATAGCAAATTAGAAAGTAGTAGTAATAGTAAGAAGAAATAAGATGAAATAATCTTTTTTTGTTTCTTTTTTTTTCTTCTTTTTATTTATTTATTTTTTTGGGAGAGGTTTTTGCCATAGGGCGCGTGTGCTTGCCAGACAGACAGAGACAGACAGACAGAAAGCGAGAAATCACCCCCCAGGGGGGATGGCCACGCCGCCATCCCTTCTCCTCCATTCTCCTCTTGGGATCTTGGGCACGCACGCACACATACCCGGTGTGAGTTTAAGCCACCAGGTCCGGGACTCGAACCGCGGTCAACTATGTGGGAGTCCAGCGACATAGCCATGATGCTAACTGCTGGTCCCTTATTTTTTTTAATCTTTAGGGAAAAAAACAACAAAAAAAAGCCAGCCCTGGTCTGGCCCTTGAGCAGGGCTCTTGCTAGGGGTGATGGTGTTCGGACAGGGCTGCCCTCCCAACCAGGCTCTGCCCCAGAAACTCCAGTAACCATCTGCCCTCCCCTCCCCTGACCCCCAGCATTGCAGAAACCGCCATTTTCCAGGGGGGGGTGGTGGTGTCCCCTCTGGTGAGGAAGGAGACAGACTCCTGTGGGCGTCCACGAGGATCACCCAGCTCCGGTCTGGCCTGTCAGCCCCTCCTGCCCTCTCCTTCCAGGTCTACCTGTCACTCATCCCCATCATCAGCGGCGTCCTGCTCGCCACCGTCACCGAGCTGTCGTTCGACATGTGGGGACTCGTCAGCGCCCTTGCTGCCACACTGTGCTTCTCCCTTCAGAACATATTCTCCAAAAAGGTATTCGGGGTGCCTTTTATGTGTATCATATGGGGACGGGGATCCCTTATCCGAAATGCTTGGGACCGGAGGTGGTTGGATTTCGGAGTTTTTCGGATTTTGGATTATTTGCATATCCATTATAAGATATCTTAGGGATAGGACTTGAATCTTAACAATAAGGTTGATTTATGTTTTATGTATACCTTATCCACGTAGCTTGAATATAATTTTATATAATAGCAAGTTATTTCAGAAAAGCTGTGGCATGCCGGCCCCACAGCCTAGTGGGGCCAGATCCAAACCAGTCGACAGCGGTTCAAATCCGAGCCTCAATGGCTTTAAAAACCATGCCATGGGAACCGCCATCTTCTAGTAATGAACCAAAATGACGAACACAAAGCGAAAGAGGAGAGGCACCCGATGTATGTTCTCCAGGCCTTTTAGAAAACATGGAGTTGTGGGAACCAGCAGTTAGCGTAATGGCTATGTCGCTGGATTCCCACGTAGTCGACCGTGGTTCGTGTCCCGGACCTGGTGGCGTAGAACCTATGCCAGGCGCGTGTGCGTGCGTGCCCAAGATCCCAAGAGGAGAATGGAGGAGAAGGGATTGCGGCGTGACCATCCCCCCTGGGGGGTGATTTCTCTCTTTCTGTCTCTATGTCTCTCTCTGTCTGTCGAGTGCACGCGCCCTATAGCAAAAACCTCTCAAAAAAAAAAATTAGAAAACATGGAGTTGTTTCTTTGGCAACATATATGCGAATCTACAAGGTGATAGTGTAGACATTAAGGGAATAGGTGCTGATCGAAAGGGAATGTCCCAGGGAACCAGCAGTTAGCGTAATGGCTATGTCGCTGGACTCCCACGGAGTTGACCGCGGTTCGCATCCTGGACCCGGTGGCTTAAAACTCACGCCGGGTGCGTGTGCGTGCGTGCCTAAGATCCCAAGAGGAGAATGGAGGAGAAGGGATTGCGGCGTGACCATCCCCCCTGGGGGGTGATTTCTCTCTTTCTGTCTCTATGTCTCTCTCTGTCTGTCGAGTGCACGCGCCCTATAGCAAAAACCTCTCAAAAAAACAAAAAAAAAAGGGAATGCCCCACACATGTGACCATGGCAAAACTGGAAGAATCTACAGTGTCACCCAGCATGCTGTTGACATCATTGTGAACAAACAAGTTGGGGGCAAGATTCTTGCCAAGAGAATCAATGTGCATATTGAGCATATTAAGCATTCTAAGAGCAGAGAGAGCTTCCTAAAATGTGTGAAGGAAAATGACCAGAAAGAGAAGGAAGCCAAAGAGAAAGGTCCCTGGGCTCAACTGAAGCGCCAGCCTGCTCCACCCAGAGAAGCACGCTCTGTGAGAACCAATGGAAAGGAGCCTGAGTTCCTGGAACCTATTCCCTATGAATTCATGGCACGATGGGTGTTAAAAATAAACTAATCTGTGAAAAAAAAAAAAAAAAAAAAACCGTAACGCAGGGCCAGCAGTTGGTGTGGTGGTGAAGGCCCTGGATCCCACATGATTGACTCCACGATTTCAGTCCAGACCCAGCTTGGGAATCACACCAAGAGTGTGTGCATATGCGTGTCCAAAATCCCAAGAGTTCTAAAGGAGAAGGGATTGCAGTGTGGCCATCGCCTCTGGGGATGTCATTTCTCACTTTCCCACAGGAACGATGTGTTCGGTTAGAACCAACCCTGGGTAGGGTCCAGCAGGTAGTGTGGTGGTTGGGCACTGGACTCCCACATGGCCGACCATGGTTTGAGTCCCAGACCTGGCAGCTTGCTTTCTCCCTTTCTCTCTCCAGTAAGCTCATGTGCCCTATAGCAAATTAAATAATAATATATAACATTAAGTAATTGAAAAAAAAATACAGCTTATTTTCAACAGCTTGTTAGAAAAATGGCAGAAATGATCTTTGCATAACAATTTTCTGTCTCTCGGGTTATTTCCATATGATAAGCATAGTTCTTGGGTCAGAGAGTATAAGATACCTATGGCTTTTATTTATTTATTTATTTTATTTTATATGACTTTATTTATTTTAATTTGGTCAGAGAGGGACAGGGTGGGAGAGAAAGAGAAAGTGAGAAAGCCAACCACCGGGTCCGGTATTTGAGTCCTGGTCAGCCATGGGAGAGTCCAGCACCCCAACCACCATGCCACCTACTGGCCCTGCCTATGGCTTTTGATAGACTGCCTGCTTGTTTTCCCAGATGACCACCACGCTCAACTTCAACTAGTGGGATTGCAGAGTGTCCGTTTCACTGCATCTTCACTCGCACTGTGTCTTGCTGTATTGTGTTTGTTTTTGTTTTATTTTCACGGTCCTTCGTACCTAGAACATAGTGCTTCCTTTAGGCACATGCCGGTCGGGAGGCTCATCACAGATGCCCTTGTAGGTTTGGTTGGCAAGGTCAGGTGTCTGGGAGTTGTCATTCTTTTATTTTCTTTTTCTTTTTTTGGAGAGGTCTTTTCTTTTGCTATAGAGCACGTGCGCTCGCCAGAAAGACAGAGACAGAGAGACAGAAAGCGAGAAATCACCCCCCAGGGGGACGGCCACGCCGCAATCCCTTCTCCTCCATTCTCCTCTTGGGATCTTGGGCACGCACGCACATGCGCCTGGCATGAATTTAAGCCACCGGGTCCAGGACTCGAACCACAATCGGCTACATGGGAGTCCAGCGACATAGCCATTACGCCAACTGCTGGTCCCCAGGAGTTGTCATTCTGCCACTGCATTTGGGGCCTGAGAAACCGGAGCCCTCCCTGCCGCTTCCATCTCCCACGGGCCTTTAGCGACGCTTTCTCTCATCAGGTGTTGAGAGACTCGCGAATCCACCACCTCCGGCTCCTGAACATCCTGGGATGCCACGCCGTCTTCTTCATGATCCCCACGTGGGTGCTGGTGGACCTCTCGGCTTTCCTGGTTAGCAGCGACCTGGTGAGTCGGCCAGCCCCGGAAGGCCATCTCTCTTCGTCTCAGCTAGTTCCAAAGAGGGCGCTTTGTTGGGGAGCTGGGGCTCGGCATGGACTCGGAGGCGTTTTCTGGGCATCAGAGAACCAGCGCTTTCCACAGTCGACTCTTTGCTGAGACTCACAAGGTCCCCCCGTCAGGGACGTGGGGTTCCTTTGCGTCTCCTTCCTGCGTGCCGGGTCCCAGCAGCTGACAGAGAGATGGCTACTGCATCGGCACCGGGACCATCAGGGAGGGCCGAAAGCCAGATTGGGACAGAGTGTCAGGACAGGCAGGAGTCGCCTGTCTGGGATCATAGCAGCAGGTCAGGGCCCTGTTGGGGGTGCTGTGTGTCTGTCCTTCTGTCTCACTCATGGAAACAAACTTTTTTCTTTTCTTTTTTCTTGACCGATTTAAGGTTTTCGGCCTAGGGCACATGCACTCCCCAGAGACAGAGACAGTGAAAGGGAAAGTGAGAAATCACCCCCTAGGGTGATGGCCACGCCGTACTTCCTTCTCCTCCGTTCTTCTCGGATTTGGGGCACGCTCACACACGTGGACACTGGGGTTTTCAAACCACCAGGTCTGGGACTCAAACCACGATCGATCACGTGGGAGTCTAGCGCCTTCACCACCACAATGCCTGCTGGTACCAAAAGAGACTTTTTTGAAAGACATTAGATCATTGGATAAGTCATGACAAAGTTTTCTATGCAAAAATGGATCATTGCGTTTCTTTTCTTTCTCTTTTTTTTTTTAAGAGGTTTTTTGGCTATAGGGCACGTGCGCTCGCCAGAAAGAGAGAGAGAGACAGAGAGACAGAAAGCGAGAAATCATCCCCCAGGGGGGATGGTCATGCCGCAATCCCTTCTCCTCCATTCTCCTCTTGGGATCCTGGGCATGCACGCACACGCACCCGGCGTGAGTTTAAGCCACCGGGTCCGGGACTCAAATTGCGGTCAACTAGATCGGAGTCCAGCAACGTAGCCGTGACCCCAACTGCTGGTCCCACATCATAACATTTCTGATAGCCCAAAAGTATAATGATAAATTGTTTTCTATCATTTTTTTTTTAATTGCTATAGGGAACATGTACTCCACAGAAAGAGAGGGAAACGGAGAAAGCACCCCCAGGGGAGATGGCCAAGCTACGGGACCTTGGACATGTGCCCAGCATGTTTCTCAAGGTGCCAGGTCCGAGACTCGAACCACATAGTCCCAGCTACTTTAACTGCCATGACACCGGGCTGGTCCCATAGTATAGTGTTTCATTTTGTTTCGCCAGTGGGCACGTGCATTCGCCAGAGCGAGACCGAGACAGAAAGCCCCCCACCCCCCACACTGGGCATGGTCACACTGCAGTCCCCTCTGCATGTGTCTGTCCTATTGGGATTTGGGGTACACACGCACGTGTACCTGGCATGTTTTTCTTCCTTTCTTTCTTTCTTTTTTAGAGAGAGATTTTTGCTATAGGTTGCTTGTGCTCGCCAGAGAGATGAAAAAGCGAGATATCACTTCCCCGGGGGAAATGGCCATGCTGCAGTCTCTTCTCCACTCCTCCCTTGGGATCTTGGGTATGCACCACACGCACCCGATGTGTTTTAAGTCACTGGGTCTGAGACTTGAACTGCAGTCGACTACGTGGGAGTCCAGCGACATAACCATTACACCATCCGCTGGTTCCACCCGCCAGCCTTTTTTTT